CTTATAGGACCTTGTAAATATCCAAAGAAATCTTGGGGATTCCCAGGAGATTGTAGGCCACACTTTAAGAACTGCTGTTTTAACAGAATTTTTGGGTCATTTACTCTCTTAGTCCAGTGATGTCATTTAAAAGAAGGGCCCAGATGCATGAAAATATTGCTGTGGCAGGTAGTTGGGGAAGATTCTTTTTGGCAATTAAAATCTATGAAGCAGATGAAGATGGTAGCCACTTTATTTATTACTACACACATAACTCATTTTCAATCCATGATCTAAAACTGGGCCTTTGTTGTTGTTGTAAAATGCTGTCGGATTGGTTCTCACTCATAGTGAGCCTGCATAGGGTTTCCGAGGCTTTATATCTCTGCAGGAACATAATCTTTCTTCCATAGAGTAGCTGGTGGGATTGAACCACCGACCTTCTAGTTCCCAGTCCAGTGCTTATCCTACCATGCTCCCCAAACATGGCCCGGAACTTTTTAATTAAAATGTAAAAGTCACAGGCTATCTTCCATAGAAAAAGTTTGAATAATGCAAAAGTTCAATAGGAAGAGAAATTGCACATTAATTGCACCTTACTGTAAAGAAGACAAAAATCCTCACAACTGGACCAATAAACAACATCATGATAAACGGAGAAAATAATGAAGTTACCAACAACTTCATTTTGTTTGGATCCACAATCAACACTCATTGAAGTGGCAGTGAAGAAATCAAACCACGTATTGCATTAGGTAAATCTGCTGCAAAAGTGTTCCAGGCAAAGATATCAGTTTGAAGACTAAAATGGGCCTAACCTAAGTCATGGTATTTTCAATCATCTTATATGCATGTGAAAGGTGGACAACGAAAAAGGAAGATTGAAGAAGAATCGATCCATTTGAGTTATGGTGTTGGAGAAGAATACTTTAAGTACCATGGACTACCAGAAGAACAAACAAATCTGTCTTGGAAGAAGTATAGCCAGAATTCTCCTTTGAATCAAGGATGGTGAGACTTTGTTTCATACTTCGGACATATTCTCAGGAGGGCATTATGTGTGATAAAGTGGAGGGTCAGCGAATAAGAGGAAGACCCCCAATGAGATGGATTGACACAGTGGCAGGAACAATGGGCTCAAATGCAAAAATCATTGTGAAGATGTGGTAGGACTGAGCAGTGTTTTGTCTTCTGGTACATAGGGTCGCTAAAGTTGGAACAGACTCGACGGCACCTAACAACAACATTTCCTTTCACTCCTTTCTTCTTTTCTCCCTTCCTTTACTCTGGAAACTTAAAAAAAATCCCTTTTGTTTAGTATATAGGATGCTCAAGAAAAGACATGAAGATATAAGGTTGTTATTAATTGCTGTGGAGTTGGCGCCAACTCATGGCGACCTTATGTATAATAAACAAATCTAAACATTGCCTCGTCTCACATCATCTTCACTACTGTTGGTATGTTTGAGGTCATTGCAACAGCGATTGCATCATCCTTCTCATGGAGACGTTCCCCAGTTTTTGCTGACCCTCTACTTTACCAAACATGATGTTCCTTTGTAGGGATTGGTCTTTCCCAATGACATGCCCAAAGTAAACAAGATGCAGTCTCACTGTCCTCACTTCTAGATAACATTTTGTTTGTACTTCCTACAAAACTGACTTGTTTGTTCTTCTGGCGGTGCCCAGTAGAATCAATATTCTTTGCCAACATCACACTTAAAATGTGTCAATTCTTATATCTTACTTTTTGTCCAGCTTTCACATGAACATAAGCTGATTAAAAAGATCATGGCTTGGGGCACTTTAGTTGTCAAAGTGACATCTTTGCATTTTAGCCCTTTAACAAGGTCTTTTGTATGAGGTACATCATTGGATACATTTGTGGTACAAGCAGAGATGTACTAAGATCTCCATTCAGGGCCTCAGGACCTGCTCTCAGGGGATACCATGGTCAACTGGCATAGCATAGTCCCAAAAGAATGTTCTACCTCCTATTTTGGTGAGTAGTCATTGGGATCTTAAAAGTTTATGACGAAGATTGAATTGATTGTTTTTAAAAGTCCACACTTTCCCTTGAATATGGCATGAGAGAAAAGACTCCAAGGCAGAGAGGCTTGTCTACCTGGAGTTACTGAAAAATTAGTTCATGGAGGGTGAGAAACAAAGGGAAAAGAGATACCGGCATGAACTATTCTTGGAGGGAATGATGTATGGAAGCTAGCAACTATTGGTCTTTCCAGAGGAAAAGTGAAGATGCTTGGAAATAATTAGTTCAATGGACTAATGGACCTTGTGAACATTCATCTCCACCACCAGGTGAACTAGATCGTATCTAGCTGCCATTACCAATTTTTTTTTTTTTTTTTTTTTTTTAAAGAGATCACATTAGAAGGTACTCAAAACCGTGGGAGAAAATGTGGAATAAAACGTAAAAATCGTAAAAAAAGACCAGACTTTCTGACTAGAGAAAGACAGGTGGAACTCCCAAGACTGTGACCTTTGGTCATATTTCTGATTTGAAACTGGATTCATTCCTATAGCTCAATTTCCAGCCAAGCAATAGATAGGTCTATGGGGGGGTGGGGGTGGGGTAAGGATAACAACATTAGTGAGGTATGCACACTGTAGAATGTTCAACCACTGAGATCAGAAGGGCAGCGTTTACCCAAGGACAAAGTTCAGAAGGGTTGGGAAAGAAGGAGGAATGGAAACAGGACATAGTGAAAGTAGGATAAGTGATGTTACATTGAGGGGATTGTAAGTGAGATGATAGACAGTGTGTGATGTGTTGAGTGTAAAACTGATGATCTGCTTGGCAAACTTTCCCTCAATTCACAATAATAATAATAAAACATCCCCACCTCAGGAAAGGACTGCTCTAGCTGTTGGCAGACATTCTAGCTACTCACTACCTACCCAGGTATCCCAAGCACTGTGGGAATAGGAAGTCCCATCCTTCAGTCCTGGTGTGGCACTGTAGGATAAGCACTGGACTACTAACTACAAGTTCGATGGTTCAAACGTACCAGTCACTCCTTGGAAACCCTATATAGGATTATTATGAGTTGGAACCAACTCGATGGCACTTAGCAACAACAACAAAATTTGGTCCACCAGTGAGAGTTCTAACAAGGTTCCCATGGTAACGCTGTCTGAGCCCAAGTTGCCCAACTTCTCCCTCTGTCCAGTCCTGTTTGGTCCTGCCCTTCCCACAGGTACTGATTCCATAACCATTTCAGATAATTCGTTCAACCATACCTGTCAATTTCAGAGTAAGATCCTCTGTTTCCTATAAGGAATACTATTTGTAAGGGAAAAAAAATAAGAGAAAAGGTAAAGATTCACTGTCTTGGAAACAACTTCCCTCAGAAGAAATCTTTGTCCTTGAGGGTTCCAGTCCAGGCTGTCTACACTGGGTCTCAGTTTCCTCATCTGTGAAGTGGGATTCACCTGCTTGTAAGGGAAAAACACCAAACACAGTGGCTGGTAGGTAAGTATTCAGTAAATATTTATTTGCTACCTACTCCTCTTAAAGAGTTGTGGGAAAACACTTCATATCCACCCCTCTCCCTGCTTCCCTTTCTATTGCCTGTTATGGCACTGGAGATCCTTAAAGGCTATCCCATATCTCTTCTTTCCTTCCCTCTTCTCCAAGACAGGGAAACTGGACTTCTTTGTTTCCTGGGATTCGGAAGCTGGTACCTCCCTGGGAAGCCCAGGCGGCTTTGCTAAAGTCTGGAGAGGAGGGCTTGGGTCTGCGCCACGCAGCGGGAGGCGATGAGGAGGCGGGCTCAGATGACCCAAGGGTGGAGAAGGGGGACGGGGAAGGACGCGCGTTCTCGGGCTCGTGACCGCTGGCGGCACCGGGAACCGGAGCCCAGACAACCTAGGAGAGATAGTAGGCATCCAGGACTGGCGCGCCATGGACACCCTCCACCTGCTGCTGCTGGTGGCTGCCCTGCCCCTGACGTCCTGGGGGGCCACACAGGGCGCCAGATCCTGGACTGAGGAAAAGGTGAGGGGCTACTTCTTCGTGATTGCACCCGAACGGTTCTTGCCGGACGTGGAGGACGTGGGCAGGGGAGAGCCCCTCCTGGGCAGGGCGCTAATCGAGGCAGGGCCGGACGCCAGGAGCCCGCGCCCCATCCCGCCTAGAGTAGTAGGGCGCTGCGTTCTCTCCAGGGTGCCCCGGCTGGCCTCGGGACTGCTTCAGAGGACGCCAGTGGGTCTGGGTGATGTCACCGGCCTCCCCTTGGCTGCGATCTGATGGGGGGTACTGATCTGCACAGGAAGTGTGTCTCGATGGCAGCTGCGGCCCTAAGCCGAGGTGCAGACGCATCCCTGCGCCACCGCCCACTCGGGACCTGCGGTGACAGCGGTCCCCGCGCTCGGGGCCGCCCCATGCTACATCTAAGGATGCCTTTGGGGCATTGAAGTTTCCATAACTGACAAGGGTTGTTGTTTTAGATTTTTAACTCGGAACAAAGGTCCTTAACTGGTGACTTGCTTTTCTTTAACATCTATTTGAGAGAGAGGAAGAAGGAAGTGGGAGAGAGGGAGGAGAAAGGGGAAAAAGAGACAGAAATTGGATTTTAAAAGAAATGTAGCCAGCTTAAATGTTCGTATAAGGAATTTTAGTTAAAGTCATTTGCAGGTTCCCTCTGCATGAAGAAGGTAGGTTCACAATTCTTTTCCTCTCTAGTATAACTGTAGCAACAACAACGTTGTTGTTATGTGCCGTGGAGTCGGTTCCGACTCATAGTGACCCTGTGCAGGGTTTCCGAGGCTGTAAATCTTTACGGGAGCAGAAAGCCTCATCTTTCTCCCACGGAGCAGCTGGTAGTTTTTAACTGCTGACCTTGCAATTCACAGCCCGATTCTTTACCACTTCGCTATCAGAGCTCCTTAACAACAACAACATAACTTTTGAAAGCATGAAGTTACTAGAAGCTTATGTAAAAAACAATGATATAGGAGTAAAATGATATACTTTTAAAGAAACTAAGAAAAGCAGCAAAGTAAGGGGTATTAACGTTGACAATGTTACTGAACAGATCTTTTAAATGCTTATATGATGCAGGTATTTACTCAAGACATTTGGAATGCTCCGGTCGCTGTTCACTCTCATCTCTGGGTCTTGTTTAGTTCTGAGTCTTGCTTAATTGGTGCCACTATTTTGGTGTCCTCCTCTCCTTTAAAATGAAAGCCATTGGCCAGAGACAACCTGGTGTGTGTATATATGAGGAAATTAATACAAGGATAGCTTCATTTTAAGAAAAATAACTTCCCTTGAGAATTTAATAGGAGTAACATCTATGATGTGTTGGTGAAGAATAGGGAAAGTATCATGGACTTCCAGGAGAACAGACAAATCTTTCTTGGAAGAAGTACAGCAAAAATGCTCCTTAGAAGCTAGGATGGGGAGACTTCATTATCAGGAGGGACTAATCTTTGGAAAAGGACATCATGCTTGTTAAAAGTTGGGGATCACTGAGAAAAAGGAAGACCACCAATGAGATGGATTGACAAGGTAACTGCAATAGTGGGTTCAAGCACAGCTGTGAGGATGGCATAGGACCTGGCAGTGCTTTGTTATGTTATGCATAGGATCCCTCGAGTGGGAGCATACTTGAAGACACCTAATAAGCAAAACCTAATAAAGAACATTCATGAAGAGGAACATAAGTGTTATACACAGGCCCTCTCCTTTATGTCACTACAGAATACCTCTTGGGTCAGAAATTAAGACCATGACAAAACTCAACCCATTTCTGCCAAGTAAATTCTGAATCTTGGTGACCCATGGATTACAGACTTTACAAGTTTTCATGATTTGAATCTTTACTGAAGGAGAGTACCAAGCCTTTCTTCCACAGCAACCCTGTGTAAGTTCCAAATGCCAACCTTGTGTTTATGTTGACAGTTGAGTTTTCCAGTGGTCAATTGCTTCATTCCTAACTGAAAAGATGGTGGTTTGAACTCATCCAGTGGCTCAATGGGAGAAAGATCTGATCATCTGCTTCCATAGAGATAAAACAAACCAAATTCATTACAGTTGAGTCCATTCTGATTCCTAGGGACCGTATTGAGTAGAGTAGAACTGTCCAATTGTATTTCCAATGCTGCAGTCGATTACAGAAGCAGAATGCCACATCTTTCTCCTGTGGAGCTGGTGAGTTTGAACTGCTCACTTTTTGGTGAAAAAAGAATGCTACTTTCGGTAAGATTATAGTCAAGAAAATCCTGAGGCAGTTCTACTCTAGCTCATGGAGTTGCTGAGTCAGGATCCACTTGACTGCACCCAACAGCAATAGTCTAGTCCTCATAAATTGGGAGTCAACTTGATAATAGCAACAACAGTCAAGAGCAAACTTTTTTTTTT